AGGGGAAGCTCAGAAAGGCTGGATGGTGCCCTGTGCTCTGCGGAGTTAACGACTACATGAACTTCTAACCTCAGGCCTGTAGCTGTTCATCAAGAAATGCAAAGGAAATCAGCAATTAGGGCCTAGTTGATTGGCGGCTGCTAGTTCAGAAGATGCTCTGTCCCATCCCCACCCTCAAGAGAAGCTGGGACTGGCTGCGAGGCAGTTTCTGAAGGGCCCTGTCAGTTAGGCCAACATCAATTGTGCCAGGCCAGTGGCTCACGCCTGTAATCCCAGCACTTTGGGAGACTGAGGCAGGCGGATCACTTGAGGTCAGGAGTTCAAGACCAGCCTGGCCAACGTGGCAAAACCTTGTCTCTACAAAAAATACAAAAATTAGCTGGGTGTGGTGGTGCGTGCCTGTCATCCCAGCTACTTGGGAGGCTGAGGCAGGAGAATCGCTTGAACCTGGGGGGTGGAAGGTTGCAGTGAGCTAAGATCACGCCACTGCATTCCACCCTGGGCAACAGAGCAAGACTCCGTCTCAAAAAAAAAAAAAAGGTGCCAGCTCCTCTGGGAGACCAAAGGCAAGGGGTGTTGGTCACCGACAGTGTGGCTTTCATAACCAAATCCACTTGGCTCAAAGGCCATGTCTGTCACTGAAGAGGGTCTGGTCTGTCGAGCTGTCACTGAGCAAACCTAGAGTTCAAGGAAGAGAGGCCTGCTCTCACAGCCAATTCCTGGGTGCAATCAAATTTTGGACCAATTTCTTGTGTTTCTTTCCTCCCAGACTCCCCTCCCCCAGAAAGCATTTGTCTGTAGACAGCCTGGGGTTCTGAGGTACCAGATTCTTGTGGAAATAAGCAGAGAAAGAAGGAACAACAGGCATTTTACAGAAAAAGCTGTCACCAAAGGAGAAGCAACATGGCTGCTGCAGTCCCTCACAATGATTTAATCACCAACAAACTGGAGAACAAAAGCATTTTTGACGACAACATATTGTGACGGCAAACACAATTAGTTTTGCACCACCCTAATAGTTTCATACCAGAAAATAGCGTTGTTGGAAGGAGAACAAGAGAAAAATCTCAGCCTCTAAAGGAAAAATAGTGAAAGATTTCGATTATGTGGTTACATATTTTTCTCCCTGTTTAGATGGCTTCTGTGATTCCACCACACGTTACATGAGACATCTGCCAGTCACCAATCTTAGATTTATGCAATATGGGCTTAGATTTATGCAATATGGGCTCATTCTGCCCCTTGATCCAAAAGGGCCACTCTACTGGGGAAACTGTTGTTGCCACAGCAGGAAATTTCAAGGCATGTCTATTTCTTGAAATGTACCTTGCAACCCATGAGGAAAGGCGCGCTTTAGATACACACAGGAAAACCTAGTTTAGTTTCTTGGATTGGGTATCACCAACTACAGAGCATTCCTTCCCATGGAAACAGATGAAGCCGAGGAGAAAAGCATAAAATTATGAATGATTAAAAATGGTCTGTAACCAGCTTCCAATCTACTTGAGAAACAGGAGGAACGCACGCAGCAGGCTGCAATAACGTCCCTCTTGTGAAAAAGAAGGAAATTGCTTCTAGTGTGAAAGTGTTACTATTTTAGGCGACAGGCATATTCATGGGTAAATCTGTTATCTGCACATGCTTCAAACACAGATGAACCTCAATGACATATGCTAAGCGAAAGACAAAAGACCACATGCTGTATGACTCCATTTAAATGAACTGTCCAGAACTGGCAAGTCTTTAGAGACAGAAAGTCGATTTGTGGTTGCCCAGGGGCTGGCGGAGGGGGGAGACAGGGAGAATGGGGAGTGAGGGCTTAATGTTTGGGTGATGAAAATGTTCTAAAATTAGATTATGTGCTCTACAAATCTGTAAATATACTCAAAACGATCGAACAATAGACTTTGAATGGGTGAATTTAAGAGTATATAAATTACATCTCAATAAAGCTGCTTTTAAAAAACCCCTGCAATCCCTGATGGTAACACAGTCACCTATAATTTGAGGCTGAAGGGCTTTTTTTGTTTTTATATAAGAAACATGACCAAGTAATGAAGTAAGATATTTTAATATGATGGATGTTCTAAAAATCATTACTAGCATTGAATCCAATATGTGTGTTGTAAGAGAAATAGAAGCCTGACTCAATTATAAGACATAGGAAGCCAGGCACAGTGGTTCACGCCTGTAATCCCAGCACTTTGGGAGGCTGAGGCAGGCAGATCACCTGAGGTCGGGAGTTCGAGACCAGTTTGGCCAACACGGAGAAACCCCGTCTCTACTAAAATTACAAAAATTAGCCGGGTGTAGTGGCACACACCTGTAATCCCAGCTACTCAGAAGGCTGAGGCAGGAGAATCTCTTGAACCCAGGAGGCGGAGGTTGCAGTGAGCCAAGATCACGCCATTGCACTCCAGCCTGGACAACAAGAGCAAAATTCTCAAAAAAAAACAAAACAAAACAAAACAAAAAAAACCAGAACAGAAAGACATAGGAAATGCCTTACTATGATGCTGTGTGCTCTCCGAAATGAACCTTCATCCAACGCCTAAGTGAAGGCAATTTCTTTACCTTACTTCACTGTAATGAGGAACACTGCCATCGATGGACAGAAGCAGCGGATGGTAAATTGGACGAAGAGCCTTTGTCTTCAGGTTCCCAGCTGTGCAATGGGACGCATCTTTCCCATGTCTGTGGGCCTTATGCATCTCCATCTGGTTAATATGCTGATTAAGTGCAGCGATTGTGTCCTCTGTCCCCTGGAGCATCCCTCTGGCCCAGGGTAGGGCACACAGTAGGTTGCCAAGCCACACTGGCTATTTTTGGCTGGCTGCTTTCCTTCCAAGCGGTGTTAAAGGTCTGCGTTAGGCGGGTAAGATAATTTGAGCTCCCCAAAACTTCCCCCTGCCCACGCTGCATGCCACCTGGAGCGACAATGTTCTCTACTCTTCGTGGACATTTCTGGAGCTCCCCAGCCATGCACAAAGATTGGTAAACTCTAGAACATGGAAGAGTGCCATCCTTCATGCCTCCTGACAGTCTGTCTTTTATTGCTGATATCCACTAACTGGGCAGGTCTAATTGTAAAATGCTTTGGTAAACATTTCTAGGACTTCTTCCCATGGCGGAGATGCGGAGTTCACAGAACAGGGTTGTTGTACTGAGCACTGTGGAAGCCACAAGGATCTGCCCTGCATGTCAAGTCTTTTTTTTTTTTTTTTTTTTTTTTTGAGACGGAGTCTCTCTCAGTCGCCCAGGCTGGAATGCAATGGCATGATCTCAGCTCACTGCAACCTCCCTCTCCAGCAATCAAACGATTCTCCTGCTTCAGCCTCCCAAGTAGCTGGGATTACAGGCACCTGCCATCATGCCCGGATGCTTTTTGTACTTTTGTAGAGACGGGGTTTCACCAGGTTGGGCAGGCTGGTCTCAAACTCCTGACCTCAGGTTATCCGCCCGTCTCAGCTTCCCAAAGTGCTGGGATTACAGGCATGAGGCACCGCGCCCAGCTGCATGTCAAGTTCTTACACAATGTTTGCCCCCTATTAGATACTCAGGGATGAGCTCTTAAGCAAAGGGACCAAGGAATGAATAAATGAATCTCCATGCCAATCACAAAGAAGAGAAATCTGAGAGTGAGCCCTGGGGGTGTCTGAGAACCAGGAGTATTTGGATCTAAGCCTTGAAAGAGTCTGCTTAGATTTTCTTGCTGAGGAAAGAGGAGGGGGCAAGGAGTACAGGAAAAGCAACGAAACCCCAAAGCGTCTTAAAGTAGAGTTACTGGGACAAGTTGCAGACTATTAATTGCAAGGGAAGAAAATCCTAACAGACAACTGGTTTACATGATCCCTACTTAAAAATATACCTTGGGGTTTGCAGAATGACCTTGAAATTATATCGTCACCAGTCTTTCCAAATACAGAGAAATGTGACTAAGTAACAAAAGTCATCGCCTGGGAAACATGGTGAAAACCCCTCTCTACAAGAAATACAATAAATTAGCCAGATGTGGTGGTGCGTGCGTGTAGTCCCAGCTACTAGGGAGGCTGAGGTAGGAGGATGGCATGAGCCTGGGAGGTTGAGGCTGCAGTGAGCCGTGAAACCAAGAATTCTGATTCCCTGCTTGTGTGAGTTTTGCTGCGTCTTGTCTACCAGCTCATTTGCAGAGCACAGAGACGTCCTTCTCCCTGCTTTTTAATTTATTTTCTGTAACACACACAAATACACGATGTCCACAAAGAAGACAGTCAACCAATTTCGATCGTCTGGATGAACCTGAGGAGAAATTCTGAGCAGATGGGTACTTGAGAATTGAGAGAAGCATGAAAGAATATTATTTCAAAGATTGAGAGGGAATTGGAACTGGATGACATTTTAGAGATTTGCCCTTATTTTTTCCTAATTGAGGCATATCACTTCTGCTAGGGTCATATAAAATGAGTGAGTGTATTGAGTCTCCGGGGTTTGCTGACTCTCAGTTGGATTATGTTTTTTATTAGATGCCAGTGGTACTGGGCATGTTACATTAATCCATATTTAAACTAGGGTGACCTTACATCCTGATTTGCCCTGGATGGTCCTGGGTTACACCTGTTGTCCCAGCAGAATGATTAATAGCATCCTCCTCCACCGTCAGTAGCATTCCGGTTTGGAATATTAAATTCTGCAATCACTCCAACTTTGACTCCTAAAAGTTTTCTAGAATATGCCATAATTTCTCATTAATTATTGCAACTTATGGCTATTTTATAGATTTCTGAAACCCATCCTTTTTTCTGTTGGATTTTAAGCATCCTTTGAACTTTAGAAGGCTCCTCACAGAACTGGAAAGCCATCCACATAAAGACAACTGTTGTTCATTAATAACACATGTTAATTAACATGTGTTGCTAATTAATAATATTTATATTATTCAGGTTATATTCCTATTTATCAATGATATTAATTAAATTATGTATTAAGCATGCAATGAATGTCAATGGTTGAATAGCACATACCTTCATAGCCAAAGAGAAGTAATAGCAAAAAGCCTTCTATCTTGCGTGACATCTTCCCCTCGTCCTCGGCCGAAGCTCTACCTTACTGAACTGGAGAGCTGGCCCAGGAGCAGGGGATTAAGTTGAGCCCTGGCCTCATTAAACATCTTAATCCATTTAGTTCTTAGGTCTTCGGCTGAGCCCCATCAAGTTAACCCACAGAGTTACCTGCCTCAACAAGGAAGTTTCATGGAAGATACTTGCATCAACTGAGATTCAGTATGCGAGGAAGATACTTTTCGTTCTTTGTTTCTGTTTTTGTTTTTGATGGAGTTTCGCTCTTGTCACCCAGGATGGAGTGCAATGGCGCCATCTCAGCTCACTGCAACCTCTGCCTCCCGGGTTCAATCTAGTCTTCTGCCTCAGCCTCCCGAGTAGCTGGGATTACAGGCGTCCGCCACCACGCCCAGCTATTTTTTTTGTATTTTTAGTAGAGATGGGGTTTGGACCTCCCAAAGTGCTGGGATTACAGGCATGAGCCACTGCACCCAGCCCATACTGTTTTCATTCTATCTTAATGTAAGGGAAGCAATGGAGGGAGAGAGGAACTACACCCAGAAGTCTCAGGTCTTCGTCCTTTCTTCGCCATCATCTTCTAGGGGGTGACCTTGAACAATTTCCTGCCACGTAAGCACTAACATTCTCGAATTGTATGAAAATGTCATGGATTCCCCTCTTTGAAAGCAACTAGGCATCATGTGCACACCTATTCACCCAGGAAAATGCTAAATTTCGTGGTGGTGGGAGGACAGTTACACAAAGCTGTGCATTGCTGTGTTACTTTTAAGGACAACAAATTGGAAACAATCTAAATGGCCAAGGTTAGGGGGCTGGTTAAGTAAATCAGGAGATGAGTGCAGCCTGGTAGGGTTAAGAGCACAGACTGCCAACCCAGACTGGCTGCCAAATCGCAGCACTAGCACTTGTTACATTGTGACCTCAGGGCAAGTTATTAACATCTCTGTGCCTAAATTTTCTCATCTGTAAGAGGAGATAATAATGCCTACTTTCTAGAGTTATTTTGAGGCTTACAAGAGATCATATATACAAAATACTCAGCACAGTGCAAGACATAATTAGCTATTATTTTTACATCATCATTCAGAATAAAGTTGATGGGAGGAAAGGGGGAGTTGTTTAATAGGTATAGAGTTTGAGTTTTGCAAGATGAAAAAGTTCCGGAGATCTGTTTCACAACAGTGTGAATATACTTAACACTACTGAACTGTACACTTAAAAATGATTAAGGTGGGCTGGAGGTGGTGGCTCACACCTGTAATCCCAGCACTTTGGGAGGCC